CCGCGGAGGCCCAGCACCTGGACGCGCGCGCCGCCTCAGCTCCGGCGCCAGGGCCGGCAACCTGACCCAGATGGCGCGGTCCCGGGGGAGGAGCCCCGGCCGCCCTGCGCCGGCGCCCGCCTCCGCCCGCTGGTGCTCTGCTCTCCGAGCGGCGCCTGTGCGCTTCTCTCCAAAGAAGCGGGCTGCGCCCCGCCGCCCCGCCGCCGCCTCCCCTCGCCGAGTCCCCGTCGCCCCGCGCACCCGCCGGCGGCCACCGCGCCTGCCCTCGCTCGTCCCCTCGCCCAGCACTGCCGCTCTGGCCCCGCACCCCTCTCTCCCCCCGAGGTAACCCTTCCTGCGGCCTCCTCGGGAGCCACAGCCTTGAACTCTGTTCTGCAAGATAGACCAGCGCAGACGCACGTTTTGCACAATTACTAACCAAGTCGACTGCCCTGTTCTCCTCACTTCCCTTTGACTCAGATTCCCCTTTAAAGAGACATTCTCCTGGTTCTTGGCTTCCCTCCGGGCCTACTTACCTCTGGATAAAAATTGCTATCCTCTTGTTGTAGGCAGCTGAATTAGAGATATCACAGGCAGTCAGACAGGGCTAGACCCTTAAAGGAGACAGCACGGAAGACGAGACACCTTGCCACTGTAAGAGAGAGAAGAGAGATGGACGCCCCTACCACGGGCCAGACCCAAGGACCAAAGATGGAACACATTCCTAACCTCCCTAAAGATAAGCGTCCGGGATTGATCAACACTTGGAAGAAGCCATAAGAGTCACTAATCCATCCACTACTGGCTGGCTACCTGATAAACTCCTGTTCTGTGTTCATGTCCGCTTGCTATGTGACTCACTTTCCCGTTTGATCCCGGAGTTAATCAGTTGTACCTGAGCAGTTGTACTTGTAACCTTAATTTTTGACCATAGTTTTGTCCCAGTTCATTTGCAGGTCCCCATGTTTTGCGCTTTTGACACCCCTCACCTCATGGTTTTGCTCTATAAAAATCCCTAGAAACAGCAGATTCAGAGGCAGCCCACTTGGGTCCCCCTTCTGTCCTCACAGACTGGAGCTTTCTTTCCTGCAATAAGTATGTTCTGCTCTTCACCTCCATTGTTGCTAAAATTCATTCTTCAGTTTTAGAGAACATGAATTCAGCCCAGGTATCTTTCAGGTTGGGACTTTCGTTCCCCTATATCACTCTTTCAGCGGTTTGTATAATAAAAAATGGTTGTAGCAAATAAACAATTGAAAACTGGTCTGTCCTTTCTTGCCCTCAATTTGAACTTTACTACTGGTGGTTTTAATTTTAGGCTTTTATAGAATTTAGTCTTAATTACTAAATTCACCATCCATGTACTAGAACACATGCGCGTGCCCACACACCCTATTTTGTAAGGATGGGGGGCTGTTTGTACAATCCATATACTGCTTCTGATGGAGATTTGGGTATTTCATCTCAAATGATTTTTTTTTTCTCAAGTGTTAACTGCATTAATAACCATTACCACTGTCATTTTAGTGAGAGAAGAGGCTGATACTCTCTCAGGAGTCAAAGCTAGTAAACATTCCCTTCTACAAAACCGCCATCATTCCTGTTTTGTTTTAAAAGCTAATATTTGCTCTTTTTTTTTTTTTTTACCAGAATATAAATATAATATAGATCAGGCAGGCAGGGTAACAATAGGCTTTTTCCTTTAACAATATTTTTATAAGATTTTAATACAAGAACCTGTCTCTTCAGTGAACTTTAAAAGAAGCTTTAAATACTTAAAACTTAAGCTTTTCCAGGAGTCCACTGAGATAAACATTTGAAAACATTTACTTAATAGTAATATGAACTCTTAAGGAAAAAGCAAAAAAAAATTATAGTCTTTCCTATAGTAGTAATGTGTCAGTTTTGTTTCGCAATTTTATCTAAGTGGTTTTATTTCTAAGAAGCAACTGAATGACAAACTTAGTTTCAACCCTGTAATTAACTGTTCTGTCTTATTCCATGTTCTATTATTTCCAAATTTTTAGCCATCTGTCACATGACCCAGCAAATAGAACATCAAAAGAAAATGAACTGCTTTAGAAGTTGATCAAGAGTTGTCTTTCTTTCCTTCACAAGATAAACATTTGGTTGTTGTTAGAAATTTGATACAGAATTTACTTAAAAGGTCAAGGGCTGTTAATGGTCAAATGCAACAATTCACATTCCAGGACATTTCATTTTGCCTGTCAAATTTTTAAATTTACAGCCTCTGTTCCTTCATTTATAAACTCAAGGCTGAGTTACCTAGTTAAGCACCACTATATACTTCTTTCTGAAACAGCAAAATCAACTTTCTTTATATCTAGCTTGGAGCTGAGGAAGTACTGTAGTTTAGTTCTAAGTACAGTAGATAAAAGTATTTTAAAATTAAGAACACCTGGGGGCCAGGGAGATGGCTCAGTAGAATAAGTGCTTCCCTGGCAAGTGCAAGGGCCTGAGTTCAATCCCCGGTTCCGCCCTCCTCCCCAAAAAAAGAACACTTGTAACCCATTGACAAAAATTGAAAGATTTTGAAATAGAGATGGGGAGTAGATGGGGAGAGAGGGAATAGCTTGTGAGGTCCATAAGCTAAACATACCAAGAGCAGGGGTTAGGGTTGAGCAAACCAGCAGTAACTGAATCCCAAAATCAGATCTATAAACTGGAGGGAGAGTAAACAGCAACAGCAGCCATTGCAAAAACATTTGTCAAGGCTATGTGCAGCAGTGTTCCTGCCCTTTACATGAATGATTGCATTCTGTCTTCTCAACAGTCCAGTGACGTGAACAGTACTGGTGAGGACACTGAGGCTTTGAGGGGAAGAAACTTGTCCTGAGCTTCAGAAAGTCTCAAAGTCATCAAACAAAATATTGTTATAATACATGTGAATAAAAATAAGTTAAAATAACTGCACAGTTTTATTTATACTACAACAAAGCATTTTATTTTTGACTGGTGTGGTAAAACAATTTCATATAGTATTCTACTGAGACAAATTAGGTTTAGCTGTTTTCTGGAAGCATTTGCCCTAGATTATGTGAAAAAGAAATGATTTTCTGCTTAGAAGCAGATCTTGTTGAAGAAATTGTTTGTATACAAATAAAACTAGTATAAATCCACTCTCAAATATTGTAATAGAAACACACTAACCAGCCATTATTAAGACTTGGCATTTTATTCAGTTGTATTCCTGTCATAAACACACATTTTTGGACTGTGATTCAGAAAAGTAAATGTAGGAGGAAAAAAATTAAAAGTGAACCCCACCACTGGAATGATTTTACAAGAAAGCTTGTTTCATACAGTGAATACTTACCCCATACATATCATGAGTCGACGTAATTGTAGTTTGATTGCTTAGAAGAGAGGACATATGTGATGAAAATTATACCACCCTAAATAAACATATAAAATTATCTTGTATCTATGTGATAACATGCAATATGGCTTTTGGCTGAATTCTAACAGACTGCTAATGTCAGAAAGTCACTTATCTGTTGTTATGGCCTTGACTGGTTTCATTTACAAAATAGAAAAATTGTGGACTTGTCCCACCAGTTCCAGCAGCAGCTGATAACTGTTCAACGTTCAAAGAAGATAGAGAAGTCACATTACCCAGCCATGGCATCTACTTACCAGCCAGTGCAAAAAACAATTCTTCCCACCAGTCACTGGCTCTGCTAGATTTCCAGCAAAAGCCTTCAATAGGGCTCTTTGAGTTTTTCAGGAGACAAAACAAACCTACAACACTCATTAAAAAACAGAAAGCAAGCAAGACCATTTTAATAGTAATTACTTTACGCTTCGTATCGGAAGGAATTAAGGGAATCTCCTGGGTGTAGTAGGCAGCTAGTCAGTCACAGTACAGCTCCAAGGATGTCTTATTTATTAAAAAATGAAACTTGCTAATAAACTTGAATAATTCTGCATGGGTACTTACATGCAGAAACACTGTAAGACTTTACAGAGGGACA